ACATTTCACCCCCAGGGAACTTCTCCTCCCCAAAACTCCCCTGGAGAGGGAAACAGCCCCCATGCCATGCCCCAGCCTGGTGCAACACAGGTGCTCAGCAACCCACTGTGGGCCATGGCCAGGGCTACTTCCCATAAGGTGGACCCAAGGCACTGGGTGTTCCTGCCAAGGACCCAAGACCTAGATCTTGGTGGCCGTATTTGAACTGTCTGCAAGTCCCACTGGGCCAGGCGTGACTGCCAGTGGTGAGGGGAAAACACGCTCTCAAACCCAAGCTAGGCGTTGGAAGCAGGCTGGAGAAGAGTTAAATGTTTGTTTGGTCTGTTTTGATATGCTGTGCCTCCAGACATTAACCCTGCGCAAGCCAGGGCTTGAGAGGGAGGGGATGCACACTTACCCACGCAAACAAAATGGGACGACCAAAGAGAGAGATAATGTGTTCAACTATGAAATGTGAAAAGGGGAATGCTTGTTTGCTTCACCTTCAGCCTGGTTTACAGTGGTCTCTCTGCCAGTTCAGAAGACTCTCTGCTCTTTGACTGTATCATACTGCAAGGCTGATCATGCTGGAGGTTTCATTTTTTTCTCTGAAGCTGCAGGCCATGGATGCAAAACTGAGCTAGAGAGGTCCCAGGGCTGAGTCAGGATTTTATTTTTGCTATTTCTGTAGAAATACCTCACTCAACTTCTTTTGGAAAAGGGGAACTTAAAAGAGCAGTACCACTTGGTGACTGTGTGTCGTCGTGTATCCTCCCCTCCCCAATCTGTATTTATTGACACTGACATTTTTAAAGAGTTCTTTGGAAGGAGGTTATGTGGTCTCTGGGGACACTTCCCCTAAAAAAATCAGAGGATTTAGCTGCTGTTTGTGTCACTGTTAGCATATGGCTTGTAGATTTATGCTTCCAGAGAAATGCCAAAGCTGTCTTGGACAAGTCAGATTCAATGGGCCAAGAGAGTTACTTCTTAAACCTGCAGCAGGCACCTTTTATAAAACCAGCTAAACTATACATTATGAACAGCAAGATCTATTGACATAAGATTCTCCATGCATTTACAGGTGTACCTGTGTAGGTGAAATACCAGTTTACTCATCCATATAAATGTGTGTACCATCTTCCTCACTGACTTACCAATGCAATCAAAATTTTTCTTTTGGGGGTGTGAGTGCAGACATCTGGAATGCAGATTGTAATAGATGTCTGATTGCAATGTTATCTCTAGAAAAACTACTATTTTTTGAACATGAAAGAACACAGTTTTCATATAACTTTGTGGCCACATCTGGAAGAGGTGCCCCTCCTGATGTTTCAAGACAGCAAGGAGAAAAGACTCCATCAGCTGGGGGAAGGATCGCTTCCTTCTCTAAGATAGGAGGCTGGACTTCTTTCGAATTATTTGGCATTCAGTCAGGAGATAAAAATACACTGGCTAGATGAACCAGTGACCTCTTCTATGATCACAATAGCTGCGGTAGATGAGTGGGCAGGAAAAGCCTGCAACTACACATCTTCTCCATGTTCTCATCAAGAAAACTTTAATCATTAATGGAGATGCAAGACAAGGCTGGAGTCACCTTGTTGAGGATGGTCCCAGAGGGATGGCTCCTCTCTTACACTTTAACTCATTGCACCCTGTCTTACACTGATGTCTCAGAGTCCCAGGTACCCGTGCAGCATCACTGAGACGGACCTTGCTGAGACCCAAGTCAGACATCTTTAGCTTTCCCACACAGCTTGGAACAATCTGTCATGCAAACCCAGCTAAAGCCTTTGAAAAACACATTTAAATGCTATTTTTTTTCACTTGCCAACATGCGGCCATTGAACACACAAGCTGTGCTTCAGGAGCAAGGAGCAGAAAAGCGTCACTCCAAGAGACTACCAGGCAAGCGCTGGGATAAAATGTTCCATAGGAGGACCAACATTTTCTCCGTTACACATCTTTTTTGGTAGCATTGGAATGAGATCTTTGTTTAAATGCACAGGAGTGGTATGGCTTCAGCAGTTACACAGCTATTTTGTGTGCTCTGGGAAAGGGGACATCAACAGATTGCAAAATGGGAAAGTGTCTTTGGATGCTTCAAACAAACATGTTATGTAATTGGGCCTTTTGGGAATCGGAGGAAGGTCTCCAGAAGATCAGCTTTCTAATTTTACTGAGACTTACCACCAAGCCAGCCCTCTAATAGTAGAGGCTTGTACACAGTTTTCCTTCATCCTTGTGTCCACCTGCACTGCCCCACCTTTGTTGTTAGTGCCCTGTAAAAACACATCTTACTCAATTTTATCAAGCTGATTGATACAGCCTAGAATGGCAGAGCTGAAGAGGCACTAAAGACCTTTAGAAAGGGCAGCAATGCCATCTCTTGGCTACCAGAGCATGGGAAAACCTGAAGTTTTAGAACTTTATTGAATCAAATTTGCTGGGAAATTGCACCATTCTACATAACTGTGATTTAGCTGAAGCATAGCACTAACGGGCAATGACACAGCAAACAGGCTTTAACTCTATAATCCACATATTGTCCTAGCACATCTTTATTCCTGTTAGAGCAAATTCTTCCAAGGGAGGGTGCATGTAAGCTTCAGGACCACACCACAGTCCTGAACTTGTGCCCAGGACCTGCAGGAAATCTGCAAGTCAGATTGTACCATCCGACACCTAAACATGGACTGTAGCAGCTAAGTTTTAGCTCAATACCTACTGGCTTTCAGGCACATGAATAGATTGCAATTTGTACAATCAGTTTCATCCTTCTCTCAAAGAAATAAGGTATGTGCATGTCCTCTCCCACCTGAATGGAGCAAGCCCATTGGTCAACATATGGCCCTGCAGTCACCACCTCCTCCCACTCCATTTCCCAGCCCTCATCTGCACCAGGCTGCAAATTCCTGAAGTGGTGCTTCCCATGTACTGTCCCTCCCTGTGATTCAAGGGAGAGATAGTTTAAAGGCAATAGCTATATAATGGCAACCCCCTGGCATCTGCACAGAAAAAAACACACTTGGGTTCCTAAGAAAGCTGTTTTCCCATTTCTTGCTTGCTGTGCACATGTTGACAGCCAGTAAGAAAAGGAAGGAGGAGGCTTGCTGCTGTGGGGAGGGCAGACCACCATGCCCTGGGAAGCCAGGCAGCAGCTCTGACAGGACGTGGTCAGTCCATGTCCAGCACACCCCTTGGTTACTGGGCTGTTGGCAAAAGTCAGCGGTGAACGGCTTAGAGGAGGAAAGGCCACCAGCATTGGCAGTAGGCACAGCACAGCGGGCCCTGGCACAATGCCGGGGAGAAGGCACAGCCATCCCACTGCAAAACCCCACATCACAGGATAAGCATCAACAGGCAGCACAGACACAGGTGACACTACCTGTCTTTGATGGAGGACAGCACAGAGATCCTGGCCAGAGTGATAGATCCAAGACAAGGGGGGAGCCCAAGCGCCTCTGAGCGCAGTCGCAGAACCTGTGGCCATGTGTTTGGCCTGCCATGTAAACATGTCGCATCCCAGGCAAACTGAGATCAAACGTCAAAGTCTTCCTGCCAGTAGCCCAGTTTTGCTAGTGCTGAGTGACCTGGTTAAAAAGTAAAGAGCCTTCGGGGGATATCCTTATAGCCTAGTTCATTGCATCTCTGCAGACAACTCCCTGATTCTCTCAAAATGAAAAAAAAAAAAAAAAAAATCAAATAACTGCATTCCTCTCTACTACAGTTATCGTTCAGAAGCCAGGAACAATGGCATATCATGTGCTCTTGACCCTTGCATGAGCAACATGCATGTTCTGGCCTCCAGACTGCTGGAGCTGTGAAGTTCTTGCTCAGTTTTTCCTGAGAAGTCAAAACCACAACTGGTCTAATAAGCTGCCTGAGAACTACAAATCGCTTTTTACTTTCCCTCTCCTTCAAGAAGTTTTATGATTCTCCCGTTTGCTTCATTCGCCCTGTGCACATGGAGAAGATACAACAGACAGAACATAAGGCCCACTCTCGGCACTCATCACGGGTCTCAGCTCCTAAGAGACCAGTTGCATGATATGCAACATGCAAACCAACATCTAGCTCTCCCTTTAGCAGCAGTGCCCTTTATCAGTGACTGCTTCAAGTTCTACGCAGTGGTTTTGTGCTACAGAGTCTACTGTTGGCAGGGACTGACCTACAGACACAGACTTCACTGTAGGAAGAGCATGAGGCTGGAACAACGCAACTCCCAACCCTTGCTCCTCCCTGAGCCCCAACTGGGCAAGGAAATGTCTTCATGACGTACCCAAGGATAGATGTTTTCTACCATGATATACTGGGCTAATTTATATTCTCCATATGATGTAATAAACAAGGCTACAGCACTAATAATTTCTCCACCATCCATCTAGCAACACTCAGGAGTAGCCTCCAACAGCTGTCAGCTACTTTTTTATTTGCAAGCAGCCAAATGTGGCTGCAGTTGCATCCTAACCATGAGGCTTCTCTGCATGACAATACTTTTTCAGGACATGCATCAGACAATGACCCAGGCCTGCAGCCTTTAGAAGAGGAAGAGGTGAAGTGACCTTCACCAAAGCCCTGAACACAGCATCAGTGGAACAGGCTGTGGCCCAGTCCTGGATGACCTGACCCTCAACAGGCAAGGGGAAGTAAGTACCACAATTCATACACTCAATTTAGGCCCTTCACAAGACAAGTTCTTGTGGCTGGGTGCTAACAGCCAGCTTGGTTTTGTTCTCTGCTCTACTGTAGAGCCGAGGCTATAGAGATCTGCTCAGTGCATGTGTAGGGTGCAGCAGGCTGGGATCACAAACCAGTCCCACCTCTCTGCTGCTGGAAGGGTGGAGTGCCCCTGAGCAGGCGTCACTCTCTGGTCTGTTAGCAAGGCAGGAATACACGTAAGGCCATTCATGGCTTACTGCAATGCGCTGGCACCCAAACACCTCCAGTGCAGCTCTGGGAGCCATGTGCATTTAATTTCAGGAGAACCAGAGACTGTAAGTAACAAATAAAACCTTCACTTACACTATCTCATCGTTCTGGAACTCCAGCTCCCCACAGGTGTCTTCAAAGTCTTCTCCTCCACCTTTGGCTGAGCCTTCAATGGTTTTGTAGGGCACAATAACATTTCCTCGTGCACCAGAGGTTCGCAACACTTTAACTTCCATGGTCCCCACACTTTCACTAACATGTGTTACTGGCTCCTCAAAGGTGAAGATGCCAGCGTGGTCATCATCAAAGATGGTGACAGTGGCAGTAGATGGTGATCCTAGGCAGGCAAGTGTTGAGACACGACTGGCCTCAAGAATGCCCTCATCTGAGGCCTCAGTGCTCACACGGACATTGCTGAGATGGACCAGAAAATTCTCATCCTCCTCAAATATGTCATCGTCGATTATGCCAACACGGATTTCCTTCTGGGTCTCTCCAGGCTTGAAGACCACTGTCCCTTCAGTGAACTCATAGTCAGAGCCTGCATTGGCCGTCCCATCCTCTGTCCGGAAGTCAACGTACACCGTGTTGGTCAAGTCACCTCCCCGGCGAATGATGGTTAGGGCGACAGTGCCACAGTTCTCCAGACACTGGTAGGTACCCTGCTCAAAGTAGAGCTTGCTGATAGGATCATTTTCTGCCACCTCACTGTTGACCTCGTGCATGCTGACAGCTTTGCGGGCCTGGTCTGCAGCATGTCTCTTCAAGATGTTGCCAGCTCCCGTCATGAGCCGAGTGGCCTGAATGCGGTAAAATGCCCTGCTCTTCTGCTGCTGGCTCAGGACCTGGTAGTTGGCCAACTCTATAAGCTGTTCAATTTCTTTGTCGGGGTGCTTTTGTTTCAGCTCCTTCAGGATCCGAGCCATTTCCCTCCTGGCTTCCTCATCATCCTGGTCTTTCTCATCCACCTCCAACACCAGTGTCCCATCCAAAAAATTCTCCACATGAGAATTAGCAACCTTTCCGTCCATCTCAATATCAGCTTTGGAGGAGGGCCGGTCACCCTCATGCTCAATGATCATGCCTCTCTGCTTGCCAGCACGGTATTTCTTGTAGACATACTTGTAAAATAAAAGCCTCCTGTCAGCTATCCAGGCAAACACCACACAGATGGGGAAGAAGAAGAAGGTGAGCAAGCCCTCCCAAACCTCCACAATCCCAGGAGAAGACACAGATAAAATAATGTAAAGCCAAGTGTAGGCAAAGATGCTCCAGGCCGCTGTAACAAAAAACACTCGCAAGTGCTTGATCTTTCTTATCTCTCCATCTGGAACAACGTAAACACAGATCGCGATGATGACAAACATGTTAAATGCAGCACTCCCCACAATTGTGCTTGGCCCCAAGTCCCCTGCTGTGAAGCCATGGCCACACACTTCGATAACAGACAAGAGGATCTCAGGGGCAGATGAGCCCAAGGCCATCAGTGTGAGGTTGGAAACTGTCTCATTCCAGATCCTCACTGTGGTTTTGCTTGTCTCACCATTGGGCTTCTTGATGGTTATTTCCCGTTCTTGGGATGTAATGACTTCGATGGAGGACATGAAGCGGTCAGCTATGATAGATACCCCCAGGAACATGTACACCATCGCTACAAAATACACTGTTGCCCGAGCAATTTTGTCACCGAATGAGGGGTCTTGGGGTTCCCATATTGGTAAAATCACACCCTTTTTGCAGATGTATGAGCCAGTGCACTCCTCGGTGTCATTCACAGGCAATTCGCTGGGGCTCTCCGCATGTATGCCGTCTGCATGGAAGAGCAACACCAGCACAACACTCAGGAGTTGGAAGCTCACTGGGAAGGCGGGTCGGCGAGTTGCTCGCAACATGGCCGCTTCCACCAAACAGGTCCCAAACGTCCACAACCTGCAGAGACAAAAAGGAAAGATGCATTAAGTGAGGCTGACCAGAGATAACAGATTTTCCTCTACACCCTGTTTATTTCCCATCTTTCTCAAACATATAATCAAGTTACTCAAGAAAACCCATCTAATGAGCCCATTTGTGTTATGATTACTAGTTTTCCGTGCAGTAGTTCATGAACATCTAGTTCAGTTATCTGAACAAGGACAGATTCAGATGCTACCGGTTGGCTAGCACCTACCCCTATTTAGCTACTATGATGTTTAATGCCACTTTCTTTTTCTTCACTGAAAGACTATTTGTTCAATTGCGTTTTCTTGTTTCTCATCTAATTAAAGCCTATCATTCTGCTTCACAGCTGGCAGAAGTGCTTCCCATTTCAAAATTACAGTGCAGTCAACTCACTGGAGTTCCAAGTAAGAGCAGGAGAGGACAGGGAAATCTACTATCTCCCCATCATTTTAAAAAATATTATTATACTTGCCATTTGGATTCACTGTAAACTATGTATTTCACAGCCTTTTCTTGCTCATAGTCCTCCCAAGCAGCTACTCCACATCAGAAATCTGCGCAAAGTGAGCTCAAGCCCTGGCAAAACCTTATTCTTAACAGTAACTTGGTCATAAGGTGCACCAGAAGGGCAGTCTTTAATTAATGATTTTGGAGCCATTCCTTCCACAGCGCATCACTTTGCGCCTTCCCAAAACTGGAAAGAGCCCCATATGCATCCAAGCCTGGCTGTCTTGGCATGCTTCAAGAGGAAACCTGTCCCTGCGCTCTTTTCCCACTAGGTCAGCTTTGACGGCTTCCCCTTCAAGGGCCTTTCTCACTCCATTTACAACATCAGTCATCAGGCATGACAGCAGTACTTGCCCTTGCCCTGCCTCAGGATTTTCCAGCAGTGTAGAGGAGCTGTTAAAGAGGTTTGCAGTTAGTTAACAGTGCATAAACTGACAGAACAGATGCCTTTAAGTACATAGAGATGCGTAGTGCAAAAACCTGGACATGCTCAGTGCTACATTCTCAATTTTACTAGCCAATAAAAGCCAGATTCCTAGTTATTAAAGCTATATTTTCTCCTCAAGGAGACCATTTGCCATACTACACTTCTCCATTCCAAATTAATTTAATCACATGGTACTTAAAAATGTTTCTATGAAGAGAGGAAAATGAGTATGTCAATACCTTTACTTTGCTGGAGAATACAAAAGGCTGAACTAGCTTTGCTTGTAAAAAACCCACACCCCCAAAAGAAGGGGAAAAAAAAAAAAAACTCAGCCAGAAGGTTTCCGCTTCTAAAAGAAGGATGGTATTCCCAGGCCCATATCACCATATCAGAGATGGGACACAAGCAGGAGATCCTGAAGTCCAGCCTCCACAACGCCTGGCAGGTCTCACCCTACCATTTGCTATCTGCCTGGTTTCCAGCAAACAAAATGCCAGGTCTGACAGCTGCACAGCTGCATGTGCTAGGAGACACAGACCAGCCCATCCATGCTAAAGGCTGCATCCAGTGACAGCATCCCAGCTGTCACCTGGGCCCCATCATAGCAAGCATGACCCAAGCAGGATGGCTAAGCACACCCTCCCTCTTCTTCCTCCTTTAAGAGGGCTTGTTTCACAGCACAGCTGGGAACCAGGCTGGCTGTCCTGCCACACAGCAGGCTACACATGCTATATTGCTGGCTGCAAATTACATCCAAACAGGCGTTCCTGGAGAGAAGCATTTACTCTCCTAAACAGGGACAGGCCAATGCCTTCTTGAAGAAAGCACCTGGTCACGACCCCCATCTCCTTATCCCCCATGACACAGATATCACCCCTCTTGATTAGGGCAGGGGCATATTACACAGGGACAGGGCTGCGTGCAAGTGAAAAACTGGTTAAAGCAAGCAATGGGTATCATCCTGCACCCATGTTACAGGATCTACTCCACAAAGAGACATTGTAATGATGGATCAAAGCCCTCTCCTCCATTTGCTTTTATTTAAGGATGCTGTAGTGGTATTATTGGACTGGAAGAATAATGCTGAGAATTTATCAAGACAGTTTTATATAAATGGCATTTCCTCACCAGGAACCGTTGGTCTGCCTCCCCCCACCTCCTCTCAATTTTCTAATTAAGAAAAGAAAAAGATACACAGATCAGGAAGTGAGCAAGTCAGAGAGCTCGGTGATAAGAACAGATAAGATGAACAAGAAAAAGCAAGTCTCCTCTATGAAGACAGATTTAAAAGAAAGGAGTTGTTTGTGTTGGAAATCCTGCTAATGCTACAAAAAGCTCTTACTGCTAGAGTCAGAAGCCCTGAACATTGCTCCCCTGATCACAGTCCCTGGGTACCTTCTGCTTCCCAGAATGCAGGCTGTAGCTGCTACTTACAAATCTGAAGTAAAAAATTGAAAAGATGTTTGTAAAGAAGAGCACCTTGTTGCAGGCCATTTGGCGGATAGCTAAGTTGAAACAGATGTGTGTTCATGATCACTGAAGTTTAGCCGAAGCATTAGTCACCCAACATCTGTACTCATGTGTTTCACACTGCTCCAAACCAAGTCTCTGAAACATTTGATAGAGGGGCTGTCAAAACACAGGTTGACTTGGTATCTACTCCATTTATCCCAGATAGCTCCTAAGTGTAGTTTTAGGGTTTTTTTTAAAATATGTAGCCTTAAAAAAAATTAGCATGGGCATAAAGTACTACTCAGCTGCATGGTTCTTCACCCTCACTTTCTAAAGGGTAGTAGTTTCAACAGAAAACTTAAGAGCATCCACCTGCCCTTGTTCAGTTAATTTTCTCCCTGTGGCAAGTCATATCCTTGCACGTGTACAATTATTCAGAGCAACCAGGCATTGTGAAATCCCCTTGGCAAGAAGAGGAAACAGATGGTTCTAGAGAAAATACTATGCTTTGGGTCACTGATTTAGGTCATAAAGAATAGGAGAGTCCCATCACACTTTGGACCAACTATACAGATTCAAGCACTGGAAGTCTCAGCCAGAAAAAAGACACCCACTAAATCAGATTAATAAGTCACTTGAACTTTATTTGCCATGTTCTTCCCTTTCAAACATTCTAACATAAGCTGGTTTTGGTTTGTTGGTTTGCTTGTTTTTTTTAAGTCAAGTCCCATATTACATTAAACAGCAGGAAAAAAGGCCTAGAGTCTTGCATCTGAGAAGTCCATCTTTCTGGCCTTCCTATCCAGCTCTCCATGTACAAACAACATTTTGCCTTCAGATGGCAGGAGATAAAAAACATGGAACTTTTCTGGAGAGTTCAGATGGGTGGGGAAAGGCTGGAGCTCTGGAAGAAAGACCCACCGGCTTTAGCAATGTGTCAGGACCCTTCGTTGAGTGGCAGTAGCATCCCCCAACTCTATGTTGGACTTTCTCCAGCATTTTCTGGTGTGGTCATCAAACAAGATTCACATACACTCACCAGCTTTCCTACTTGGACCCATTCACAATGAGTGTTATTAACACCAGACTCAGGAATTATGGAGCGCTAGAAAATGCTTGGCCAAAACATGCTGGTCACACACACACAATCAGAGCCTGACACTCAAAATATCTCTGAGAAGCAGCTGCTATAAAATTAACAGCATTTCTTTATTTGTACAATCCAAAATAAACAGCTTGGTCCCCAGAGACCCTCTTACTCTGCATTTGCATAGGGTCTCGGCCCATGGTCAGCACACTGCTGCAGGCGCAGCAATAGGAATATTCCCAGACAAATCATTCATATTATTCTCTAATGAGAAGCAAGGCTACCAGAACGCCAGCCCTCCCTCCAAACCCAACTTTGTTAGCTTTTCATTAAGGTGTCTCAATTGCATTTCCCATCCCGGCCATCAACAATAAAAGCAAATGCGGTAGCTGATTCACAGCATGCCAGGTTAGCAGCCCCAGCAAACCTTGCCTGCCGCGGTGCTTGTGGCCTCGGCGTCACTCCCCAGTGCTTCTCGGGTCAAATTTGTCACGGCAGCACTGGGCAGAGGTGCAAGCTGCTCTCAGGCTTGGTGCTGGCCATGCATGTGCAGTGAAGAGCCCCAAACCAGCACCTCAGGCCAGCAACAACCCTGCCCATAAGCACTACCACATGTCCAGGGGCAGCACCCAGAGTCCTTTTTACCACTGAGGGAGCAGAGCTGTCCTGGGGCTCCCTAGAACCAGCTGCCTGAGAGCTTTCAGGTAGAGCTGGAGCTAACCAGGAGAGCCAGAACTTGGGCTCTCCTGAAGTCCCAGCTGTGCCCCTTCCCTTTGTGGACAACTCCCCCAGGGCACTAGCAGTTGGTTTTGCACAGTCATGGAGGAAAGCCTGCACGAGGCTGCGTGGTTCCTTCGAGGCAAGTTCAGTTTAAACGCAGCTCCCGCCCAGGGATGTTGGCCCAGCCTTTAGTCCAACCCCTGGTGTTGTGAAACACCAGGAGGGCAGCTGTTGTCCACAGCAGGGCTAGGAGGGTTGCAGAGATATTTGCCTCCCTGCTGGACACGGGAGCTGTAGGTTTTACAAATTGGTAGGAGAGCTCCTGGTGCCAGCTTGTGCTCCAGCCCCCCAGCTCACGAGCTGCCAGATGGGGAGAAAACAGCCTTTTAGACTCTGCTCTGACCTTTCCCTGGCAGCAATGCTCCTTCAGGCTGACTGGTTGCTGCATACAAAGTGAGCCTGAAAGCTGCTCTGCGTTTCAACAAAGCACAGCTTTTCCTTTGCAGCAGCCTCCCAAAAGTCCCATCTCCGTTTAGGGCACTTTGCTCTTGAAATATCTATCCACTGTCCCTTCCTGTTATTTTCCTACACCTTTGTATCACACACAGGTTTATGACCATCTGCAGCAAGCTGGTAGCACCATTATTTTTCAGAGTACTGAAAAAACACTGCTAGCCCAGACACTTTCATTACAGAAGAAGGATTGGGCAAGGAAGGAAATGGCCTGGGCTCACAAGGAATAAGTGGCCACACAAAGATAG